GTCATTTACCGTAAGTAGCAGTGAGGTTTGTTAATCGGTTTCAGGTGCTTTAGTGTTAATTAAATTAAGAACAGATACAACAGAGGAGTAACAATGAGACAATGCTCAAAACAGGAATGCATTTACAGGTGGAGGTCACTGGCAGTTTCTTCCCTTCTCATCTTTCCTGACTTTTTTTTCCCATTAGTTTTGCATAAGGCTAGTGTCAGTGTCACCACTGTTAGCATGAGCAATACCTGCACCCTACAGAGGTGGCACAGGTAGTGCAAATCCACCAGGATGGTATAACAGTATTGCTAGAAGGGTCCTTGTCTCCCAGCACAGTCACAGGAACATGGAACTGATTCCAGGAAACGAGCATGTACTTTAGGAGAGCTGGACGGGGCCATAGGAGTCCTTAACTCATCAGCAGGACTGATATCTGCTCCTTTATGCAAGGAGGAACAGGATGAGCCCTACAAATTGACCAACAGGAGGCCAATGGTGTGAATATTTCTGGCCAAGCAATCAGAAATAGACTTTATGAAGGTCAGCCTCCTCCAGTGGGCTCTGTGTTCACTGCCCAGCACCGTGGAGCCCAATAGGCAGGTCCACCAGTGGCATCCTGTGCTTGTCACAGATGATAGCAGGCTCACCCTGAGCACAAGTGACAGACATGGGAGGGCCTGGAAAAGTCGCGGTGAACATTATGCTGCCTGTAACATTGTTTCAGGCCATCAGTAGATGGTAGCATATCAGTAGATATATCCCACAAGAATCTGATGAGTACTTTAATTTTCTTTTAACAGCAGAGTATTTTAACACTTATATGTGAGCGTTTTAGGTTTCAACTGGGTTTTGTTACAAATTAAATATTTTTGTTTCAGGATATGTTTTACGTATTAGGCCTACTAGGTGTCTTCCAGACTAAGGTGACTGTAGAAAGCCGATTCCGTGGCTTGATAGGCTTGATTTCCATCATGGTCACGGTGGAAATAAATAGTTAATGAACCCACACTTTTACTGAATTGTAAACGGCACGTTTATAAAAACTCTGCAAGATTAATTTCTAGCTGTTGCCCTTTATTCCTGTTGTTGCTTTCTTTTCCTCAGGGATCGTAGAAGTGTTGATGTGCCGGCACAAAGCCAGAAATGCTCTCGGCAATGTGTTTGTGTCACAGGTAAGCAGACTTCCACGTCTTTCTCTCTCTCTCTCTCTCTCTCTTACACACACACACACACACACACACATTAAACACATATGCAGAAGCCACTGAGACATGATGACGTGTGTGTGCAGATGAGGAAGGTGGTTTCCACTCTGTACAATGACTCAGCGGTACGTGTGGTTATCTTCAGGAGTTTAGTGCCGGGCGTTTTCTGTGCAGGTGAGTGATCTCTGGTGCCAGGAAGGTGTGCTCAAACTGTGCAGTAATGATGTGTGACCATGTGCGTTATGATTTATGGTCAGGTGCCGATCTGAAGGAGAGAGCTCTGATGAACAACTCTGAGTCCGATCTGTTTGTTCACGGCCTGCGCTCCCTCATGACTCAAATAGGTAAAAAAACAAACAAAAAAAGCATTAAGGTTGAGTGATTAGTCAGTCTTTTTTTTCAAGCTAAATGTGTTTATCCATTTGTAAACTTTGCTCAATTTGTTTCAATAACCTTGCAGCATTGTTGCCCTCGCCGACCATCGCAGCGATGGATGG